TCAGTGTGGAAAGAAGCCTCTGTGCCTCATATCATGCACAAACTAACGGGCTTGTGGAAAAACTAAATGGAACCATTCAGAGGTGAACCTTTATTAAAAGGTGGCTTTGTGGGAATATAATCTTCAAGGTAATATTGGTTGTCTTTCCAATTGGTTACACTGATAATTTTCAACTCCTCTTGGTTCTGACTTGTGTAAACTTGTGGATACATGACCTGAAAAATGGGATGAGTACCTAGATGCAGTAATGTTTGGTTTAAGAACCAAGACTCAGCTGACAACTAGGTTCTCCCCATTTTTCTTAATGTTTGGCATGGAGGCACGATACCCTTGTGAGGTGCCTGAGACGTTTGAGGTATGATATAATTTACATTCTTCACTAAAAATGTATGTTTCAATTGCAAATTGATTACATAATTTAAATGTTCTATATTTCAAAAAAGGCCAACAGCACAGTGGAATCTGTGATAGCAGAGGACACTGTGTCAGGGGCTAATTCTCTCAAGGAGAAAATGGACCATATAGTCAAGGAGAACGTGAAGAAAAAACAGGAGCGGAGACAGAGGGTGGCAAATCGGGCACCATTCTCTATAGGCCAAAAGGTCCTACGGAAAAACATAAGGACCCAACAAAGGAAAGGGGGCAAGCTTGAGCGCAACTGGTTGGGACCATATGAAATTGTACACATAAAAGACAAGAGTGCAGATCTGAGGGATGAGAAGGGTTACAAATACCCCAAAATCAGTACAGACCACATAAAATCCTTCAAAGAAGAGACAGCCCGGGTACCCCACAGATTTATTCTTGATGAACCCCAACTTAAACGACCAAATTAAGACACTGGACAACACCCTTCACCTCCACCTCTAGACCTCACCATCTCTAAAGAAAAGCAGCCCCCACCATCACCTCCATCCTCACCAATGGCATCAAATCTTTCTCCCCACGTCTCCCCCAAATCATCCTCTTCCCTGTCTCCATTGGATTTATCAATGCCACTTTCCTCTCCTGTGTCCCACACTACAGTTGCAACAGTTACACCAGCTGATGCCAAGGATGCAGTACATAGATGTAAGTGCTGATGAAAAATCACATGAAATCAATCAATGTTGGTCAGAATTGTAATATTTGTCTAGTGTGTTTTTCCCCCTTTTCATAGTAGGTATCAAAAGTGCCTGGGCTGGAAATAACAGCCATGTACTGGTGTCCAAAGTGGGACCCTATAAACTGTTTAATCAAGATATTTTACAGATTGGCCCTGGGAAGGAGTTGGAGAGTGAGGTATATATTTTATTGATGTGTTTGTTTGTTTTTTGTCTGTCAGATAAGGCTTTCATGTAGTTTATACATTTGAATTAATGTTTCATTTTCCAATGTTTTCCAAGGTAATAAATGCGTATCTGACACTGAAGGTGAGCCAGCACAACTTGACCTCACCAGAGAAAGCCTTCCATATGGACACATTTGCTATAACAGCCATGTGGAATGGAAAATATCGGGGACTCAAGGTCTGTTGTATTAATACTTTTATTAACTTTTATTCATTTAGTTTGGGCCATGTGTAAAAGTAATTTGTGTTTTCGGTACAAAAGGCCTTGGATGCTTTGTTTAGCAATGTGTAGATAATACATTTTTGGCTTTTTATTTTCAGGTGGACCCAGCAAACTATGAGGTTTTTAGTTGTAAGAGTTTATGATTGAGAATAGTTTTCTTTGAGCTTTCCCTCATCCCTTAAAATGTTGATTTTCCACTAATATTCCCTTATTGTGATGTCTGGGAATCTTATTACCTAGGCTGTATACCCATCTAAAAAAAACATTCTGCTTGACCCACTTGGAGAGCCTGACATCAAGAAGAAAAGGTGTTTGCAAACAACAAGGTATTCAATTCACCACAGTCTGATGTAGTGTTTTTGGGAAGTTGTGTATGATAGAAAGAAGGGAAACAAATATGTTTGTAGAGCAATGATGAGGAAAAAAGGGAGTTCCAGTTTCACACTGGGTGTGTCAAAATCCAACTCACCCACTTCAGACGGATACTACGTCATGTGGTGCGTTTGCTTTGAAGGTGTGTGACAGCACATGAAATGTTCATTGAAATGGGAGGATTGTATTGTTTTTTTTTATTTAATTTTTTTTCCAGTTTGCAGAACATATTCTGCACAATACCAATATTGACCTCCAATGAACCACAAGACATAGCACGATTTAGGCTGGAGATTGCATCAACACTGCTTGAGCAATCTGGTATTTTTATTTATTTTAACCATGAAAGCTATTGACATGCCTTTTGATGTGCATCACTTTCATTAGTGTTTTGTAAATCTGACCTAAAAAAAGCATACCCTGCCTATTGTATTGTAACTCATAGATGACCTAAGTGACCTGTGTCACTTTTGTGGGGAGGCAGAAACATTTGATGACTCTGCAGATGATCTCTGGGTAACCTTTTTATTATTAAAATGGTGTGGAATATTAATAAATACATTAACATAATTGCTGACAATGTTTCTAACCTTTTTTTTTTTTTTTTACAGATTTCCTGTGATGATTGTGGGCGCTGGTTCCATATCAACTGTGTTAATAATCCATCCACAGACAAAGAATTTAAATGCTTTTCTTGCAATAAATACAATTGTGGCATTGTAAAGCCATTATTTTTGAAGACTTTTTGTTTTCTTTTTTGTAAATGGTTACACCTGCTGCAATTTGTCTTTGTTATTTAAATTTATTTTTAATTAAAACGAAGTAACATTTAACAACACCCGTGACAGACATTGTGTTTCAAATAAGCCTGCGCTACAGACTTCTGCGTAATAACCAAAGCCTCAAACATGCTTAAATCGGTTGTAAGTTGGGGAATACCTCGCTTCTCAAATCCATTTTCAAGTTTCAGAGAAAAGATGGTACTTTTTGAACCATTTTGCTTCCCGTACATCCAGTTGTGCTTCATGAGTACGTTAGTTCTAATAATACGTATGGTAACCCGGCAACTCCACAAGACATGTAGTATGATTGCGTAAAGGAGAACAGACATTCCGAGGGGAACCGAATCGACTGCTACACCGGGATGCCTTATAGAGAATATGAGAATATTGTGACCTAACTTTTTTTTAGTAGCGGGAATGGGCTTACATGTACAAACTCGACGCTTTCATAAGTATTCATAACGCGTTTCTACAAACCCAATTCCAAAAAAGTCGGGACACTCTACAAATTGTGAGTAAAAAAGGAATGGAATAATTTACAAATCTCATAAACTTATATTTTATTCACAATAGAATATAGATAACATATCAAATGTTGAAAGTGAGACATTTTGAAATGTCATGCCAAATATTGGCTCATTTTGGATTTCATGAGAGCTACACATTCCAAAAAAGTTGGGACAGGTAGCAATAAGAGGCCGGAAAAGTTAAATGTACATATAAGGAACAGCTGGAGGACCAATTTGCAACTTATTAGGTCAATTGGCAACATGATTGAGTATAAAAGGAGCCTTTCAGAGTGGCAGTGTCTCTCAGAAGTCAAGATGGGCAGAGGATCACCAATTCCCCCAATGCTGCGGCGAAAAATAGTGGAGCAATATCAGAAAGGAGTTTCTCAGAGAAAAATTGCAAAGAGTTTGAAGTTATCATCATCTACAGTGCATAATAATATCCAAAGATTCAGAGAATCTGGTTTCTCAGAGAAAAATTGCGAAGAGTTTGAAGTTATCATCATCTACAGTGCGTAATATTATCCAAAGATTCAGAGAATTTGGAACCATCTCTGTGCGTAAGGGTCAAGGCCGGAAAACCATACTGGATGCCTGTGATCTTCGGGCCCTTAGACGGCACTGCATCACATACAGGAATGCTACTGTAATGGAAATAACAACATGGGCTCAGGAATACTTCCAGAAAACAATGTCGGTGAACACAATCCACCGTGCCATTCGCCGTTACCGGCTAAAACTCTATAGGTCAAAAAAGAAGCCATATCTAAACATGATCCAGAAGCGCAGGCGTTTTCTCTGGGCCAAGGCGCATTTAAAATGGACTGTGGCAAAGTGGAAAACTGTTCTGTGGTCAGACGAATCAAAATTTGAAGTTCTTTTTGAAAAACTGGGACGCCATGTCATCCGGAATAAAGAGGACAAGGACAACCCAAGTTGTTATCAGCGCTCAGTTCAGAAGCCTGCATCTCTGATGGTATGAGGTTGCATGAGTGCGTGTGGCATGGGCAGCTTACACATCTGGAAAGGCACCATCAATGCTGAAAGGTATATCCAAGTTCTAGAACAACATATGCTCCCATCCAGACATCGTCTCTTTCAGGGAAGACCTTGCATTTTCCAACATGACAATGCCAGACCACATACTGCATCAATTACAACATCATGGCTGCGTAGAAGAAGGATCCGGGGACTGAAATGGCCAGCCTGCAGTCCAGATCCTTCACCCATAGAAAACATTTGGCGCATCATAAAGAGGAAGATGCGACAAAGAAGACCTAAGACAGTTGAGCAACTAGAAGCCCGTATTAGACAAGAATGGGACAACATTCCTATTCCTAAACTTGAGCAACTTGTCTCCTCAGTCCCCAGACGTTTGCAGACTGTTATAAAAAGAAGAGGGGATGCCACACAGTGGTAAACATGGCCTTGTCCCAACTTTTTTGAGATGTGCTGATGCCATGAAATTTAAAATCAACTTATTTTTCCCTTAAAATGATACATTTTCTCAGTTTAAACATTTGATATGTCATCTATGTTGTATTCTGAATAAAATATTGAAATTTGAAACTTCCACATCATTGCATTCTGTTTTTATTCACAATTTGTACAGTGTCCCAACGTTTTTGAAATCGGGTTTGTAATTATTGAAGCATTATTCTTAGCGATTCAGAAATTCAATTTAAAAGTTTCTTTTTTGACCACAAACGCAATAAACGAGTAAGTTAAAAAGACAAAGTAAAGCTTAACATTACCTCTTTTCAGCGTCTACATCACGTTGCGTTTCAGAAAATATCTTCTCCCACTAACACAAAAAACAAGTGTTCATTGATGGTAAGACACCAAAATCTAATATTATACTTCGTTTACAAAAATTAAGCTTACCCCTTCTCACCGTCTTTTCACATGTGCTTCATAAAATGGCTCCTTGGCTGGAAAGAGTATTTGCATATCACGTGGCTCACAGTAGACTACTTAACATTTTATGCTAGATTTACTTAATTTTAACGTAATTGTAATAGTAGTTGACATGACTTATGTTTTTTCATTTTATTTATGCATACACTTAAGTTCACCTTGTAACTTATATTTTTGAGTTAAGTAGACATTGAAAAATTTTGAATAGTACGTTTTTTGTGTTTAATCGATTTACTTTTATAAGTAATGGTTGTTCAGACAACGAATCATTTTTTTCAGTGTAGGTTTATTTTAACGTATAGAGACAGACTACCGACCAAAAAAATCCAGGGAAAAAAAAAACATATAAAGGTGTAGCGAATCAGCTCATGGGGAAATAAGAATAATTAATCATAACTAGTTATAATTAATTATAAATATTTAGCTCCGCTGTAGATATTTACTTGACCTCTCAGGGTCAACTGTCTGTCAATTCTAAGAACGTTAATTTCCTGGTTAAGAGAAATAACTTTCTTACTGTACAACTCTACACATAGCATAAATCTGCATGATTAGGGACTCCAGTTATGAGCAATCAATGAACAACGTCAAGTGTGATACAAGTAAGACTTTATTAACTACATAAACACTTAAACTGGTCTAACATGTGGCTGCTGGCTGGTGACGTGTGAACAGTGGGTTCTGCCCCCCCCCCCCCCCCCCCCCCCCTCGCAGGTTCTGACTTTTGGCTGAGGGGGTCTGGGCCTGCTTGCCAGGGGAAGTTCTGTTTCGTGTTTTCCCTGTCTGTTCAACTTGTGGTCTGCGAGCATATTCCAGTTCATTTGTGACATTGAATTCACCTTGGCTTCATTTGACTTTACCCGATTGGTGTTTTGAGTTGTCTCGCTGCTGAGCCAGGACTTGGATTTCAGCTTGCAGGTGGCATTCACATGCGTTGTTTCGGTTCGCCTGAATTAAACTTTTTTTTTCTTCTTCTGTAGCTGCAGAGGTTTTCAGGGAGCTGACTTGTGAAGTGTCAAGCAGAAGGATTTGGCTCCCTTCCCCCCCCCCCCTTCATAGCTGTGCAGAGACGCGGAGGGGCTTGCACTGCTGGTGATGTGATGGTCTTTTGCTTGAGTCTATGCGCAGTCGGTAGGACGGTTTAAATTCTTTCTGAACCATGTCAAGCTCCTCTT